CCCCTCCCCCCCCCCCCCCCCCAGGGGTACACTTATTTAAAAGGGGGCTGCCGGGGGTACACTTACTAAAAAAGGTTGAAAAACCCTGTATTAGGTGATGACATGTTTGATTATGGTCTTATGTACAACCATGGACCAAATATCCAGGAATCTGTTAAGCAGAGAATGAAAAACAGAACATTGGAGATGGGTTGTTTGCTAATGAGCTGAATCTGCTGGACCCAAGGAGCATGGGACAGCCAGAATCTCCCTCACTAGCAGAGTTCCAAGTATCCTGATCAAGTATTTGTACCTGTAACTCCAGCCTGGATGTGGCGATTTATAAATGCGCTATCATTACCATCTATTATATTGTTGATATTTGTTATACCATTTTAGACTGTTCATTTAAAGTAACTGTTTAACTGCTAAATCCAAAGGCCAGTAATAAAAGACCTGTAGCAGAATTACTCTTGTGGTCAATCAAATATCAGAAAAGTTGCACCTGTTTCTGGCTCCTTGGACTTTATCCACCCTACCAGGGTTTTAAAAATTAATCATTTCCTCCCCATTATAACTGAACTTTGCCACACTGTAAAGTTGTATTATTCTATTATTTCTGGAACAGGCCTAAACAAACCAACCAACCAACCAACCAAGACACTTCAGTTCTAACTTGGTGATCCTGATCACACTCAAATCCCACTGAAACATCATCTTTAAAGAGATGCTCAGTAACTTTCAGGAATGAGGTCTCTGGGATCACTAGCCAACCAACCATTCATTAAGCATACCCACCTCCCCTTTCTTAAGGTTTAATGCCCAGCAAAGTAGTTGTTTTTGAACAGGGCAAAATTCACCTGGTTTCCTTAACAAACCTGAAACTCAGTCCAAGTCCGCTGCACACAAACACTTACCTGCTTGAAACGTACCAGGTCCGAGATAGCAGCTCAACATTCAGGACAGGAGTGCTCATGCTCATAACTAATGTCAACGAGTCTCATGAGAAAAAAATAGCATTGCCTTTAAGAACAAGCCCAACCCATTTCAAAAAGAGGGAAGTGGGGATGCTTATTAACTTTGTAACGCAAAAAATTAAAGCGACTTTTAAAAAAACCAAGCCCAATTCCACTTACTATTTGCAGACTTGGCAACACTGCTCATAACACGGGATTTACACTAAGTCCTGATTGTGCTTAAGTTATCCAGGGTCAAAGCCAAGCCAATTAAATTACATGTGTTTGTAGTTACTGCTTTTTAATTCTTTGGCAAGCACCCAGCCAATGCAGAGGTGAGGAACAGCTATTAGGCAAAGGTCATCTGCATTATCCCTTGAAGTGCTTCCGTTCCACTATATTCAAGTTGTGTGTGAACACCCTCACTCAGAATTAAAGTTTGATTTTAGGTCACTTTGGAAGTTTAATAAAGCTACATCCAACCAAGGCTGCTTTAAATAAGCAAACAAACAAACAAACAAAAACAGACAGTGCCATAGCAACAAAATTTAGTGCCTGGGACAAAGCCTGTAGCAGCAACCCACCCTTACCCCGTACACAGATCCAGGGGGCACACGCCCCACCATGCTTGCCCAGGAGTGCACACAGTGGCAGAGGCCGCCCTTCCTCTGTCCCCACACCTCCGCAAACAAGACGCTCGTGGCTCTGTCTTGCGCCATACCCCAGCTGGGCAGTGCCTATTGGCACCCCTCCACTTTGGTGTCTAGGGCAGTCGCCCCACTCCCCCTACCCCCCACAGCATTGAAAACAGTTGACCAGTTTGATCCAGTTTTGAGCATTTGGTCTTACAGCAAACCTTAGACCTCAAAGGGCCCTGCTACATGTTCAAATTAAAGCTGGACAGAAGCCAGCTATGGACTTGTTGCACATTTTCAAGCACTAAATTTATAGCTGATTGGCTTTTATAGCTGGAGAGTCATTTTTATGGTGTGATAATTACTTTGTACCTTTGTAAAGTCTGAATTTATTGTGGGGGATTTGCCAGTTAATTGCATGCTAATAACACACTTCCCCTCTACATGTTCAGGTATCCTGCAATTAAGAGGTTAATTACACAATTACCTTAGGACCAGCTACGCAGACAAAGCAGTTATCACAGAGGTGCACTGATACATCAGTCCACATTGTATTGGAACCTATAAAAGGAAAATTGACATTACTGGCTATCAGCTTTTTTTTGGCTCATGTGGCCTATAATATCACTGAAATACACAGCATGCAGGTGGCCAGGAGCACAGCCCAGCAGTATGGAGAGCAGCATCCAGCTGGTAAGTCTGTTATGGGGGAAGGAAGGGGAGTGGGGGGAGCAAACCAAGGCCCGCACGTTGAGGAAGGGAGTGAGGCTGGCAATGGGGCAGGCACTGCACAGCTGGGGTGGGGCGGGGCAGTGCATAGGATGGAGCCATGGCTCATCCAGGAGGCGAGGGGAGGAGGGAATGGCTCCCACCACTGCACACTCCCTGAGAGGGCATGGGGGACATGTGCCCCTTGGATTTGTGTGCAGGGCAAAGGTGGGCTGCTGTTGTGGGCTGGGACAGTGCTGGGCTCTTCCTGATGGGGGGTTGGGCAGGAGCTGTGCTCAGGGCAGGTGGCAGCAGCAGTGGGAAGGGGGCTACAGCCCCCCCAAAACTTGCTGTAGCCCCCCCCCCGCACCACTGCCACCCACCCCAAGCGCAGCCTGGCCCAACCCCTCCGCTGTGAAGAGCCCAGTGCTGGCCCTAGGCCCAGCCAGCAATGGCAGCCCACTCTCGCCCCATGCACAGATCCAGTGGGCACATGCCCCCCACGCCCTCCCAGGATGTGTGCAATGCTGGGAGACCCCCCGGACAAGCTGCAGCTGTCCCGCACGCCGCTCTGCCCCAGTCCCGCTTCCTTCCTCGCTGTGGGGGCCTCAATCTGTCCCCCCCCACCCCCCTTGCCCCTTCCTGCACAACAGACTTAGCAGCTGTACACTGCTCTCCATGCCACCAGGCCACATATTGGCAATCAGATTGGTATCAGCTGATATGGCTTGTTAAAAATTGGTATCAGCCCAAAAAATCTCTGTTGGTATCACAACACAAAAACTCCAACCAGCTATAAAGTTAAACCTCAACAATATATACTAACTTTATAGCTGGTTGCTATTGAACTTTAATTTGCAAGTGTAGCATGTTCTCCCCTATGGTTGGAAGCCCCCTCAGCTGACAGGTCTCCCAGCTGCAGGTGCCCAAAGGGAAGACTCCCCAGGGCTCAGGGGTGGTTAAACTCTCACAGCTGGGATGGAGGGTCTTGCACCTGAGGG